CCCCCCCCCCAAAAAAAAAAAAAAAAAAAAAAAAAAAAAAAAAAAAAAAAAAAAAAAAAAACTCATGTTTACTCCAACTTCATTCCCTTTCTCCCTGACAATTGTTTCTTATGGTATTCCTTTTGTTAAAAGCAAACGCATATGGGGGCTCACAAACTGTGGCGTTCCCAATAGCGGATTGAAATGCAGATATTAAAAGTTTTGGGTTTAATTATTTCAGAGCTGTATAAGGTGTAACCAACCTTTAAAAGACGCCCTTTCATCCCTTCCCTTTCCACTAGAATTAACTTGCTATGCATCTTATTATTAATTGCTTTCAAGGCAAAAAATCCATAATCAAGCATTATTTGTTATGCTTTCATGTAATGTACCTGGGCACTGTTGTTCGTTGCAAGATCTGTATTCGCGTAATTCGTTATGACAAGATTGGCCGCCATATTGAGGTTCTACACATGTGCGATTTCTCTCTTGTGAACCGCCACCACACGTCGCATTGCATTCCCTCCATTCCGACCACTGAGTGAGGAACCCATCAACTGTAAGTATTAATTTACGTGTGATCGTCTGCGCAGGCAGCATTTAGATATCGCTGCGTTTATTAAGACACTGCATTAGATACCACCCAAGGCCCGATCCTGCATTTTTTATTCTTTTTTTGCTTCTTGTCTATTTTTTTCTGTTTTCATTTAATTTAATATTTCATTTCTTTCTTTTTCCGTTAGCTGTTTGTGACATTAATTGTGACGTTTGTCATACGATATCCGAAGTAAACTTATTAAAAAAAATACACCTGCGCTTTTGTGTATCTTCATAATCTTTTAAATCTTAACAATGTCTTTATTGTGAGCATTATCTTTAAGAATTATTACGGTGATAAATTAAAAAATAAAGCTTATCCTTTATTTAAGTGCATTTTAAAAGTCTACCTGGGCAGTTTCGGATATTGCACGATCTGTTTTCATGTAATTCGCCATGACAAGATTGGCCGCCATATTGAGGTTCTACACACGTGCGATTTCTCTCCTGTGAACCACCACCACACGTCACACTACATTCCGTCCATTCTAACCATTGAGTGAGGTAACCATCAACTGGAAAATATCAACGGGATCATTTGAGGGATTTTTGTGGCACAAAAAGAAGTTTAAAGCTTTTGATGCTTTACTAACGACATGAACTTTTTAAAAAATTCTTATAGATCACATTTGATACTTCTTTAAGAAAATAATTCTTTAAAAATGACTTCATGTGATCCATACATTTTCACGTTGGATGATGCATTGTCTTTGAGGAGGCATTGATAATTGCTCAGGGGTTGTAATATGCTTTGTATTGAGCACAGAGTTTGAATCCACAAAAATCCCACTAACGGTCTCTTTGATTTTTAGGATTGTACTGTTTGTGCAGGGTATCAATTCGTTATTCATCAGAATAGGCCATTGGTCTACACATGTAGCTAGAAATAAAGTCTCATGGAGTCTGTTTAACCATCGTGTCAAGACCATCAAAAAAGGCTGTGCAATGTGAAAAATATCCACTTAGTATTTTGAGTACAACAATCTACCAAAAGCATATCAGACTAGATGTGTTTAATGTTAAATCCAGCGTGTATTGCAACCATTGGGTCCCACTGACTTTACCTGGGCAAGGTCGTGTATTACAGGGCTGCTCCTCTTCCCAAGGTCCCGTGCAGTTTCTGCCATTGTATCTAGGGCCGTCACATTCGCGGGATCGTCTCTGGCTACCACCACCACAGCTGGCACTACAAAAGCTCCAGGTAGACCAGTCCATGAAAACACCGTCCTCTGTGGTAAAGAAAAGGAGGCTGTCAATACATTCTATGACAGAAAAAGAGCGTGGATAACCAAGACAAAATTAAGGACGGCCTGAATTTTGAGCAAATCGGATATTTTTCGCGCTCAATTTTTTCAAATGGACAAAAATAGAATAGGTATTAGTTTGATTTGAGCGAATGCGACCCCAAACTTAATGCTGTAGTTCTGCTCTTAGACTGCATATATACTGTTGATTTGATTTGTTGATTCTCACACACACACACACACACACACACACACACACATATATACACACCCCCCCACACACACACACACAAAGAGAGAGAGAGAGAGAGAGAGAGATAATATTTTACCCGGACAAGGATCTACATTGCAGTCTCTTCTTTCTTGTGACTCTCCCTCACAGAGTCCGACTGTAGCGTCACAGTTCCGGTACCGGATTTGATATCCCCCGTTACACATGGCGTCACAGGAGCCCCAAGTTGACCAAACTGTCCACATCCCTGGCGCTGTGAGTATTAAGTTCAGAATTTGTTAATCAATTAATGGAACCATTCTACAGCCGGATGTATATTTTGAAGCATGTAGTCTAGTATGTACCGGTATGTACACACACTGGACAAAAGAAGTGTCACCCCTACTGAGCCAATACTATGGGGGAGATAAATGACTGCGGAATGATATGCTCCTGGTATCATTTTATTAACATCAAATTTCACAAAAAATCACAAAATGAGAACAAAATATACATTCTACCAAAATATGCAGTTTCAAGTCCAAAATTAGTACTTAGTGGCATAGCCACGTGACCTAATAATAGGTGCCAGTCTACGAAGCAAGGTTTCATATAATTGTCTGATGCGTTCTGGGCTAATGCTGGCCCAAGCATGAAACACTGAATATAACAGAGTTTCTCTGCTGGTTAGACGGGCATTTGTAAAAAGTTTTGACATATCGTTCCACACATTTTCTATTATGTTTGCATCCGGACTCTGGGCAGGCCACATCACCCTGCGAATGTCCTGTTGGTCAAACCAATCATCAACTGCTCTGGGCCTGTGACAAGGAGCATTGTCATCCTGGTGAACAAATGGATAATTCCTGTCACCAAACATGTTAGTAATAGATGGTAGCAAGCCTGACTCCAAAACATCGATATATTTCTAGTGATTCATGTTTCCATTAACCACTATCAATTCGCCCAAGCCATGGATGCTGATGCAGCCCCACACCATGATGAATATGCTGCTCCGGGTTCGAAAATTCAGTGCATGTGGTTCAAATGCTTTACCAGCAGTTTGCCAGCATAGTACCCGTCTGTCATCAGAGGTCAGACCAAAGCGACACTCATCAGAAAAAAATATATAGGACCAATTGTCATGAACTGTCCAGTTCCAGATCCTGTTGACCCTAGTTTACTCTACGTTGCCTGTTTTGTAACGATATAAGAGGTTTCAGTCTTGCTACCCTGCTGTACACTCTCTGAGCATGTAACCGACGCCTAGCAATTTTCACAGACACATTCTTATGTGTGAAATTGTTCCACTGTGTTGTCAACTGACAAGCAGTGTCGAACTTTGACAACCTGGACATCAAAATCAGTCGTCGGTCTTCACGGCCAGTATTTTTTCTTGGACGACCCATCAGAGGCAATTTGTCTCTTGATCCAGTGTTTCTATACCGAGATCAGACCCTCTGCACGGTTCCGACTGAACAATTCAATTGTATCGATATTCTGACATTGCTTATATTCCGCCTCTTCAGGTTAATAACTTGCACCTATAACCGTTAGATAATTGCCTGTATCTTGCCATATTGGAGGAAGACAGGAATAACATTTGCTGTACATGTACAAGACCAACAATACAATTCCATGGTATAGCGGTTTTATACTCATTAGTCACATTATAAGTAGACCAGGCATTATAAGCACCCAAGATCTGCCTACTTTTATTACTCTGAGTTAGGGGGTGACACTTCTTTTGTCCAGTATGTATGTATGTATGTATGGATGTATGTATTTTTTATATAAAAATAAAAAAAATTAAATTTCAGTGAAGTATGCGCAGTATAAATGATGTAATAGGAAATGATGTTGTGGACATTATTAATACAAAAACGATCCTTTTCACATTATTAAAAATGATAAATTGTTTTATTATATCCTGCTCTTCGGACTCTATCCTTTTTAATTCTCGTCTTTAATTTTTGCAACGGCCTTTGGAGAACATGAATGTATTGGATTTAAGTTACCGGTACAGTGATAATTTTCATGAAAGGATCTATATATGAAATTGTATTGAAAAATTTCCGCTGAATATTTGCAGATTCATTTTACTACGTAGCGTCACGACCCCTCCCCATGTTTTACCCTACCTGGGCAGGGCATTTCATTGCAATCACGAATTTCCTCGTCCAACCCATCACAGTCACGTCCGCCATGTTGACCTGGAATGCAGCGACGCCTGCGTCTCTGTTTCCCTCCACCGCAGGTCAAGTCACACCCTTGCCACTCCCCCCAATGTTCCCACACTCCATCCACTGAAAAAAAGAGCATCTGAACAGTATATCACTTCACAAATCTATGAAGATTTTTAAAATCAATTCCCGTTGCAATGTATTTTTACCTTTGATTACTACCGAATATTAAATAACATACAAAGCAGAAGAAGCACATGCTTTAAGAACCAATAATTAATTCGCCAGCTCTAATTACCAAATATTTCATAACATTCAAAGCAGGAGAAGCTCATAGTTAAAGAACCAGTAATAAGTGAAATAATTTTAAAAAAAGAAAAATATGGTGTGTACTGTCTTTTTCAGAGGACTGACATAATCAGTGGGAATAAGGCACGAAGTTTAAAGCAGTGCAGTTGATAAAGTGGAAGTCCATGCAGAGTCCAGAGGTACACCACAGAGAGGACATACAATTGAAGAGTCGGCTTATTCAGCAAGAGATTGACTGGAGAGAAGTAAGCAAATATCGGCATGTACTGTAGATTCAAAGAAGCACAACCATCTTGACCCCCTGTTCCTCTTTCGGCATCTGCAACAGATAAAGCCATTCCGTAAGAGGCAAGGTTGGAGAGCAAACTTGAGAATAAGAAAATGAAGTCATGGCGTCCAGTTGACGTCTACCTGGACATGGGTTCAACCCACAGTCCCTAATTTCTGTGGAGTTGCCATGGCAATGTATTCCACCAAACAGAGGCTGAGAGCATGCTCGCTCTCTGGTTTGATTCCCGCCTCCACAGGTAGCGCTGCATTCTGACCATTTGGACCAACTTGTCCATTCGCCATCGACTGGAAACAAACGGTTTCACTTAAATAACTGCCTTTCACTGAACATGTTAATATGGTGAAATATTAAGTATTTTGCCCGGGAATGATGAAAAGGTGTCTGTCATGAACGAGAGCCAGAGATCATCTTTTAAGGCTAAATTGCACATACCATTCACATACCCAGACTTCCGAAATTAATACAACAGCATTCATTCTCAATAAACGCCTTTTTCTGCTTCCAACGAAGAAGACATCAGACACCATGTATTTTCACCTGGACACGGATGAGTGGAGCAGTTTCGTTCTTCCTGTGCTTTTCCAATACATTCCGCACCGCCGTACCTCGGTGGAGTGCAGTTTCTGTAGCGTGACTGCAATCCACCGCCACAAGAGACGCTACAGTTTGTCCATGCGGACCATTTCTCCCAGTAACCATTTACTGTGAGGGATGAAATGCAAAAATAGTTATACATTCACTATCATTGATTATTAGACGGAACTTCACGAAAGCTGCCCTGACCGAGCACTCATCTATGCATATCGTTGTCTTCCTTTTTTTATTTTCATCTCAGTCGCCCACAATTCTAATTTTTGAACAGTATTTCAACTGCGGACAGTTTGAAATAACACCTCTTTGTAGCCATGAATAGTATTGAGAATGCTTTTTAAAACATGAACTTATTTTATTGTGAGGAACACTCCACCAAAATGAATTCAGCACGTTTTAGGATGCTTACAAGCCAAATGTCAGCTTCACCTTTTTCTATCTATTTATAAGACAATGTGTGACATCTGTGTTTCCTAGATAACATTATGATTTTTACTACATGTCAAAGAGAATTTTATTTGCAACTTTTGTCATTAAAAAACATTGCACGTCATTCAAATGCCAACGTTTCCTCTTTTGTTTTGTTTTAGATTCAAACCAAGACGATATTATACACCATGTATTTTCACCTGGACATGGCTGAGTTGAGCAGTTGCGTTCTTCCTGTGCTTTTCCAATACATTCCGCACCCCCGTACCTCGGTGGAGTGCAGTTTCTGTAGCGTGACTGAAATCCATCGCCACACGAGACGCTACAGTTTGTCCAAGCGGCCCATTGCTCCCAGTAACCGTTTACTGTGAGGGTTGGCATGCAAAAATGGTAAATATTCGCTATCATTGATTACAAAATCATTAGATGGTACTTCACGGAAGCTGTTCTGACCGGGCACCCATGCATATTTAAGTCAGATTAGACTTCTTTTGACACAAAATAATCACACTTTTTATTTTAAACAAAATTTAAAAAAACATTCAAAAATCAAAGAAAATGTATCCAGACGCCCCGAAAAGATAACAAGTACAAGTTTTTGCGCACCCACCCCGCTTCACAGCTTAGAAAAAATGACAATTTAATATGAGTAAAATCACATTTTACCTGCACAAGGTTCGGCATTACATTGTCTGCTCTCCGCTTCCTCTCCTTCGCACTGCCGCCCGCCATGCAGGGGAGGTTCGCAGGATCTGGCGCGCCGTTGGGACCCGCTCCCACAGGTGTGAGTACACTTGTCCCACTCCGTCCACGGCAACCAGTAACCGTCAACTGTTCGAGAGGAGGTTGGCCATGACGTAAAAACACTTATCATATGTTATAGTGTCGCAAAGTTAGGCCTACGACCATTGCAAGGGCCATTGGGTTGTCAGTAAAAGGAGAAGTTATCAAAGTAAAAGGTGCAACATATAGGCTTTCTAACCATTGGTACATTTATCTAATGTTGGGTATAAAGCTGGTTTGGTTATTAGGGTGTGTAGAACAAAATGTTTATCTTTCGTGAGGGATAACTGCAAAGGTCGAAGTGAAGCATGTTTGAAATCAAGCAGTTCTAGAAATTCTATCACACAAAACCCTTTACCATGAGGTGAGCATTCAGCAATGACTACACGTATGTATCTGCACGTCCACGATACTGGTTATCATCTTTGAAAGTCTGTCAATATTCCTGTGTGTTGAATTACAATGGGGATGCTCTCATGTGAAAGGGGATGGATATTGTCTTATTATAACAAACAATTGTGTGTTTCCAAACATTACTGTGAATTTTAAACTTTTTAATTCTTGGCCAAAAATGACACTCAAACAGCCCTTAAATCTGGAACACAGACATACATGTACCAGTCTGTTTTGCAGCTGTACTGAAAAGAAAGCTCTCAGAATAGTATTGTCATGTTTTGGGTCATCTCAGGGATCATATACGGCACACACACTAGAAAAATACAAAAATTGTTCTTCGTCTCAAATTTTGATGGGTCAACAAAAAAGGGTTATTGTACGTTACCATTATTTCTGTTTTCAACTTCAGTACAAAGTATAAATCTCCCAAACACGCGAACTATACAAAACGTTCGGGATGTAAATACCTGAAAGTGAAATACACGCTGCTTTTCATAACACAACAACAAGGTGTAAGGAAAACATGGTCAGAAATGTGCAGCATTTACGCGATACGCGAGGGCGCAACAGTAGGGCTTCACGTGACTCAACTAACCAATCACAGCACAAGAATGGCATCGCACACAGACTCTGTGATAAGTGCTCAGCCCATTGTCAAGTAGTGTTAGTTCATGGTAACAAGCGTCTGATATGTGCAGAGAAGTTTATTATTATAATATATATTGTTCTTATTGTTACATTATTAAATCTAACTCTGTATCCAAGTAGTTACTATAATGTACCAAGTCAGGTACTGATGATGTACAGAGGTCGTATATTCCAGAATAAGCCATTACCACTGATTTATAACTTTCATTTTTGTTTAATATGTTATTCATGAAAGAGTTCATGAAAGATTATTTTGATTTGTTAAATCGTGATCTTATTCTTTTTATATTCAAATAATTGAATACTGTGGGTAAATTTGGTCTTCCACTTCTTATTTGCATTTTTCCTTTACTACAAGATTATTTTGGAACAGTTGCATCATTAAAAATTAAATAAAAATAAAATAAATAAAATTAAATAAATAGCAATCTGAAAGAAGAATTTTGCATAATTATTAAATGATGATAGGAATTTTGGATTAAGAGATTAGTTAAATACTGAGTAGTGATATGGTCAGTCAATTTATGTAGAATCTGATAATATGATTGAAAATACTGATTGAATTCTTGGCCTTGCACTGGGCAGTTTTACATTTGTGCCAAGTGCTCTTTTTGGACACCATTGTACAGTGGTAAAAAATCTTCAATTGCCATGAAATTTTTTAATCAGACTCTGTATGTTACTGCTATCAGCTGGTGCTATCGGCAACGAATTAATTTCCCTTTGTTTCGGAGTGAATCTACCGTCTAAAATCACTATTACTGAAAATATTTGCGTTTTGCTGAGGGTAGTCTAGGCAATATACGGCAAACTTCTTAGTACGTGTGTACAACAGAATTTTTTTAAAAACCCTAGCGATATTTGGTCAGGAGTTGCTTGAAGCATAGCACAGCGTTGCTGTCTATCGGCATCAGGCCGTTAGTTTGTCAATTCTCACGAATTACCCACGAAACGCGAACCCATTCATTTTTCTATGGCAATCTAGCAACTCATTAAAAATGCACGCATGCGCAGTGGGCTAGGCGTGACGTCATGCAGTGCATTTCTGGGGATGACCTGTCATCTGAGCGGGAAATCACAAATGTTATGACACAATCCTGTTTCGATTCCTTCAGAGACACACGATAGCGAAACCACAGCTAGCGTGTAGTTTCATTTCCCCATTCAAGGTCGTAAATAGTGGATATTTCCACTGATGACATAATGACCCGGTCACATGAATATTAAAAGAGACTAATTAAATTAGCTATATCCGGTTCCCATTTTTTGGCGTGTAACTCACGAAAAACGATTTCATGTCATCGCTGTTTAACCGACGATTTAGGATCGCAGGCGTGTTTTCCAACTCTTTGAAGTAAGTGTACACATTCCTGATAATTTTGAATGTGTTTAATGTTACATTTTCCAAAATTTATGCATATAAAGCAAAATACGATGCATGGTCTAAGCGGAAAACGTGCTCACAAGATCGGCACCATGTTGAAATTTTGATGCCCATGTTCCGATGTTGTTCCCAGTATCGTGGACGTGCAGATATAGATAATATAAAGTAATTCTAGGTCGGAAAAGTGCACTGTTTTTTCATCATTATAAAAATCCCCATTCCCATGCAGTTTTGTGAATATCTCTCTCTTGGCTTATCTCTGGATTTTGTTATTTTCCAGAAAATTCATTCAAATCACATCTTACCTGGACAAGGCTGAGGATTACATGATCGCAATTCTGTGACGTCACCAATGCAGAGGGCGCCACCGTGCTGAGGTTCTTTGCACTCACGAGAGCGTACTTGATTCCCGTTCCCACAGGTGACATTGCATGGTTCCCAAGAATTCCATGACATCCACTCGCCATCCACTAATGTACGTACATTAAGGTATTTTAGCTTAATTGAATTCAATTGATCTATTGTCGATTGCATTTGTAGGTTTATAACGTCAAATGGCGACAAAAAAATTTCACTAAAAATACTTTAGCCCTTGATGGGCGGAAAGTATACCTCAAAGAGAAATCAAAGAGCAAGTGGATACCGATAAATAGATTATTTTAACAACAAAATTGCAGGTCATAGCAAATTTTATTTGTATCATGTTTGTCTTATTTCTCAGTTGAAAAATATATACATGTTATGTTAAACGTTACCTGGGCAAGGGGCGGCACTGCAGTTTCCAGTTTCCGAGTCCGGTCCTTCACAGGGGTAGCCGTCAAAAAAAGGCCCGTAGCATGAGCGTGTGCGATTTCTGCTCCCGCCACCGCAACTGACGCTACACGCGCTCCATGACTCCCACTCATGCCACGTGCCATTCACTAAAACCAATTAGTTGTCGTACTCATAAAATGATCCAGATATTTGATACCTCTTTTAGAAGAATAATTCTTTTAGCAACTCAAGGGTATACACTGTAGTATATGGGATTTTCGCTCAAATAATTTTCTTCGAGAAATATTCTCCTAGTGAATTATTGCATGGCCTGTCTTTGCTCTTAGATTTGATATTTTGTGCCATTTTTTAATAAAATCACTTCATTCAAAACGAAAAATGATTAATTTAAACAGTCCTGATCATAGCAACATTTGTGAAGGAAGTATCAACATTAAGTGCATTACGGACCCTATTTTTTCTCCACTTTGATAATTACAGTTTTCTGACGGAAGCTTTAAAATGGGCTGTGCACTTATTTAACAAATGAGGTATTGTTTTGGGTGAGCATCGATACATGTGTTTGTAAAAGCACAGTCAAGAACTAAGTGACTAGGGGTGACACTAAGTGAAGGTCGCATTCAGAACCAGCTGATCCGCAGACTAACTAGACCGATGCTCAAAAATGGCAGGCACTTGACAATGGATTCCTGCCTCCCACGCGCGCCATCCCAACAAGGACAGAGTGAATTAAATTTGGACACGCGCCATCAGTAAGTCAGTGGATCAATTGGTTGTGAATGCTCTCTTAGTTAACCAATATGGCCACGTTCCCAGGAAAATTGGCGTCACCAGAAGATCGTTTTTTAAATAACGCATGCTTCAACAGTTTACCTCATAACGTATCCGTGTACTCTAATTGGCTAAACTGTATCACCGAGCGTTACATATTTTGTCGTTCGGTCATATTCACCAATGCTAACTTAAACACGGAATATCAGTAAAATGGAACGGTAAAATTTGGTGTGTTAAAAACACTTTATTATAATTCACAATACAGGCATTATTAAATAGTATTTATGTAGAATCTATTATATGTAATATTTATTTCAAGGAGCGGCATTGTCACGTGAAGTGATGTCATTGAAATATTGGATTGTTTGCATCACTGACTTATGAAGTCATCATGTGTGATATCAGGAACGGTGGGGAGACAGGCAGATTCGTGGTTTGTTGTTCAGCAACTACTAGTACATGTATGTAATTTACCTTGCCACTCTCTGTCTACGATATGTTAATAGATAACTCGGCTTACTATAATAAATGGACAGCGTTGCCTCCGGATTTGGCCATATTGCCCTCTCAACCAGTGATCATTTGTATGATATTCTACGGCGCGCTGTTTATCCCTACACAATCTATTCTTCGGTCCGGTGACGTCGGTTGAACTTTCTGGCTAAATCAATTACGATGGAAACATGGCCATGTTCCGCCGCTAAATTTACAACAATGACAGTTGTAAAAGAAAATAATAATACTTTTTTTATGATTCTATGTTATTCTACAAGCAGCAGAGACGAAGATTGTGATCAAACTATTGGTCACTTGTATGTGACCAATAGCCAAAAGCACGTAAACAAAGATACAACACAGTTACAACAAACGTTCAAAGGTGGTATGCTCTACCATATGCTTTATGCAAATATGTTTTAACATATTAAACCATCTTCATACTCAATACTAAGATAAATGTAATCAAGAAGGTATG